GCAACATGCCTTTGGGTTGATATAGGATTCTGGATTAACTTAGCTCTTTACTCAGTACCAGAAGTGCACAGAAGATAAAATTCAAATAAAAAAACCCTCTGCATAGATTTCTTTGCTTCCATGTCCTTTTTTTATGTTGCAGTAATATTAAATTTGAGTCAGTTCCTCTGCTAACTGAGCTGATAAATCAGACTTGATTGCAGTACAGATCACATTGGATCCTTCCCTTTCCTCTACAAAGATTATTCTAGGTCCTTGGAAAAATCCCACAAGATTCTTCTTCATTTTTTTAATCCCCTCTGTTCTTTGCCTTGTCCTATTTTCATTCTCCAGTCCCAGTCTTTGTAGATAGGAGCTGCGTTCCCACCAACGTCATTAGCATATCAATTGTTTGCTCAGAGGACGGTCATTATGACTCTGTTCCTCCCTGTTATTACTAGTTGCCCTTAGACTGGTGCTAAAGGCCTTGTCAGCAAAGACAGAAACAGAAAACATTGCAAGATAGAGCAATGGCCATAGCAACAACATCACATTAATCAGGGTCTGTAGTCTGTGCAAAAACAAACTTCCCAAACCAAGAAACCACACACCAACACCAAAAGAAACCCAAAAGTTCACTTTCTGCCCAGAAACTAGAAACCCTGAGGTATTTGCTCTTAGACCTCCCTTTTCCAGGTGAGAAAAAGAATTAGCTGGGAGTGAGGTAACCCTTTCACAGGGTCATCGTTTCTTACTGTCAGGGTGGACAATAGAGTAAAGGGCTTCTGGGTTGTCTAAACCATTTAGTTTTTAAAGCCCCCATAGGGCTGATAATTGGCATTCCCCCACTTTAGGGAGAGTACATGGGACAGATGGAGCTGAGAAGCCAACCTTTCAGATGTCAGACCACTTCTGAAAAATAAGCTAATTGAGGTGTTAAGAAAGGAATAATACTGATAATAATTCACTTATATTGGGCATATATGCATTTATGTAATTTATTAAAAATAAATATTTTTATATATATGAAATGGGTCTCAACATCTGTTCCAGTAACAGTGGCATGGCTGTAGTCTTGTGAAGCCAAAGTGCACATCAAGCATCTTCACCACTGTTGATTTGTCACGGTGTTGAAATCCTCAGAGGGTAACCTTTGAAATAATTGGCTCAAGCTCAGTCACATAGTTGCTGCTGCCTCAAGACAACTGCAAGTCGGGGGGTGCATGGACAGCATCGAGGACATGCACACTGGCTAGGAATTTTTGCTGAGTTATTTAAAAGGGTAAAATAAGTATGGCTTCTGAGGTAGAGGTTTTCGCTGAAAAGCCAGATGCCTTCAGGAGAGAGGGAGGTTTAAAACTGCTACCTCTTTACCTTTCTGTCTTATGCTCTTTGTCTCCTGTATCACCAGGAAGTTAAAAATCTTGAGCTGCAGTACAGAAGACAATACCAAGGGAGGCTTCATGTCACTGGGCTGCAACCAGGAGGGCCTGTGAGCCTTCCTGAGCAGGTGTACTGATGACAGAGGTCAGCACAAGAGCAGCACTGCACAGAAGGTCTTAGAAGGAAGGTCTCTGAAGGGCACCAGCTGACTTAGACAATCTGTGTGTTTTGCCACAGCTAGGGACAGTCCTTCAGCAAAGGGAAACTCCAGGCTTTGCAACATCGTGGGCTGTACCCAGAGATCAGATAGGTAAAACAGCCACAGAAAAGGTACAGGGAGCGGAGCATAAGCTGGTATGCTGCATGCACTCACTGACCAGCACAGACATCTGACCGTACCTTCCCTGCGAGGCAGAATGGGATGCAGAGGCAGAAGGTGCCGGCTGTACAAGCCCAAGGCAGCCAGAACTGGAGGAGGAGACTGGGATAACAGGTGCTGCTGTTGTACTGAATTATCAGCACGGAGGCAGTCTGAAAAGAACTATCAGGACTTTCAAGGGGACACGGTGGGAATGCCACCAGCTGCAGAAAGGACAATCAAAACAGAGTAGTAATTTCTTCCCCGTGGTTCTGGTTTGCCTTTTCACTGAACCACAAGACAGGGGACTTCTCAGTTCATGTTGCAGGGATGATGTTGTAGCTGTGGAAGGCTCAAGGTTGACAGGCATCTGGGATGTCAGTCTGAAGGCCAGTTTGTCTCTCCAGTGGTGGACTTTGGATGCGTGCAGACATGGACTCCACTATGGGAGCTACTAGGCTTGCAAAAGGAGATCTCCCTGGGACTGAAGCCCACTGTTTTTAGTTTGTGGTCATGGCACATTTGTTTGCAAAGCAGTACTCAGTCAGCCACAAGTCACAAGGTTCAACCTGCTTGGACTGTGCTTCAGGAACCTTAAACAAACAAACAGCAAATCATGAGATAAGGAAAAAATAAAATCTTCTGAGGAAATACTTCCAGATATGACACTAGAAGACGGACAAACTCTTATAAACTAATGTGTAAGCCAAGTTTGTCTTCTGGATCTTGTCTGTATAGTCATTTTAAAACCCAGCCTATGGCTTATTACAGTGCTAATGGGACCCACTGCTGGGCTAGAGCACTCAGTGCAGGGCATGGCCCAGCCTGCTGCGACCCACATTGCCTGTGGGGGCAGTATCCAAGTCCTAGTCAGCACTCTGATCTGCAGGCCGGGGACAAACAGGAACAATGGCCTCAGCCTAAGTGTGAGCCAGACTATGAACAAAGTAGGCAATTAGAGGGTTGGAGATGGAGTGTGATCTTGATGCTACAGATGTCACCTTAGCAGTGAAGTTGGGGGACTTGTTTATGTAAAGTAGTGCAGATAGGAGTCCCCTCTTTCTTGGGAGAGAAATGACAACCTGCCTGGGGGGAGTGAGTGGCCTGACATGCACAGAAGTCGATAGGAGGCTAGTGGGAAACCTGGAGCCTCTTCTCAGCTCGGTCACTTACTTACGAACGTACCGAATAGGACCAGCTCAATGGACCAGCTCCATGTAGAAAATATTATTATTTAAAATAAATATTCACTATCTGTGCACACACTGGATACTCATTTCTGAAACAAACACTAGTTGCTAATATTATTAAAATACTTCTCCACAAATCTGTCTTGGTTCTCCTGTGAATGAGCTCTCCCTAGGATATAGCTAGATTTCCTCCTATGAGTGTTGGTGAGGTTTGGCTGTCAGTTTTGACAACACCAGACTTTTTCCAAGGTCTATTCTACTTTGGCTGAAAAATAAATTCCTTTCTGAAGAGTAGAGTAGGCAGTAGCCAAATAGTAACTATTGCAAAAACCAAGAAAAGAAAGAAATGAAGACATTAGGGATGATTTCTTAGCGATCAGCACCAAACAGAGCCTATGTTTCTAAGAACTTTCTATCCCTATCAGTTAGTTAATCTTCCTGAGGGCTGACACAAAGACGATATCACCAGGAAAAAAAAATCAGACATATGAATGTGATTTGCAGGTAATTCAAAGCACAAAACCAATTTCCTTAGAGAAAGTTGCAGTTCAAAAGGCTTTCATTGAGATGTGATATGCGACCACACCTCAGTGAATTGTTTTCTAAAATTACAGTGGTTAATCAAATATAAAACTCACTTTAAAAATGTCAGTTTGCATTTATTTGCAAAGGACCCTATCAGGTTCAATATACAGGATTTGAAGGCATCATTAGCAAGTTTGCTGATGATACCAAACTGAGAGGTGGTGTTCACTCTCTTGAGGAACAGGAGGCCTTGAGAGGGGTCTAGGTAGATTGGACCATTGGGTTATGATTAATAGGATGAAATTTAACTGATTGAAATCCCAGAATAATGCGGAGCACAAGTATAAACTGGGAGAGGAGTGGCTTGAGGGAGGGTTCTGGGGGTGCTGCTCAGCAGCAGACTCACTGTGGGTCAGCAGTGAGCCCTGGCAGCCAAGAGGGCACCCCATTCCTGGGGCACATCAAACAGAGCACAACCAGCAGGTCCAAAGAGCTGATTATTCTGCTGTATGCAGTGTTAGTGCAGTCTCACCATGAGCACTGTGTGCAGTTCTGGCCCCTACAGATTAAGAAGGATGTGAAGGTCACTGAATTCAGAGAAGGGCAACAAAGTCAGCGAAAGGGCTATAAGGAATGCCCCATGAGGACTTGTCTAGTTTGGAGAAAAGAAGATTTGAGGGTGACCTCTTTGCTCTCTACAGCTCTCTGAGGAGGGAAGTGGAAAGGGAGACACCGAGCTCTTCTCCCTGGGATCCAGTGATAGGAATGGTTCAAAATTGCATCAGAGATGGTTTAGGCTGGACATTAGGAAGCATTTCTTTACTGAGAGGATGCTCAAATACTGAACAGGCTTTCTAGTGAGATGGTCAATGCCATTTAAGAAGCATTTAAGCAATGCCCCTAACATGGTTTAATTTGTTTTGCCCTGAATTAGTCAGGCAGTTGAATTAGATGATCATTGCATGTCCCTACCAAATGAAATAGTCTATTCCCCTATCCCCTAGTATTATTTCTAATGTCCCTGTTTGTGGGCAGCCACGGTGGGGGTTTTCATTGTTGTTGGGAAGGCAAATGTCTGGTTACTTCCCTGGTAGACTGGGAATGTTCCAGATAGCAAGTATTTCTTCAGATACTTGGATCTGAAGAAACTGAGACTCGCTTTCTCTGGAAGCAGGCAAGGGGAGAGCTGAAACACAGGCACTGTTCCTTTCTCAGTTCTGTCATCCTTGCTGCCCTTAACTCAGCGTTCAAGCCCAGGTGAGTAGCTATGTCACATGCAGGGTGCATGGTATTTATAATTAATTATTATTGTGGCATCTAATAATATAGAGCATCAAAACTGTTAGCTGTGTACGCGGAGTTAACATATTTCTGCTATTGCTGTTTGCATCAGCACAGGTCAGCAAATGATCCTTCTGGTATGTGGCTGTTTAAAGTATGGGTTTACAAGGTGTCAAAGATGTCAGTCACTGTGATGATATGCTGATGGCATTCATCATCAGCCAGTGTCACTTCTTGCTTGTAGAGCTTTAGGGCAGGTCTTTGCTGACAAGCGGGTGAGTTGAGATCAGCAGAGGAACAAAGCAGCAGAGGGGGCACAACGGGGATGATACAAAAAAATGGACAAGTTATGCTCTGCTGACTAGGGAAACATTCTGCCCTGACTAAGACAAGGTGGGTAGCTATAAATTACGTCACTGGGCTATACTTCAGGTCCACGGCTGCCACTTGAGTCTTTACAAGGAAGGTGAAAGCTACAGTCTGCAATGACATGCATGGCCATTAGTTGTGTTCAACTGAATCAGTCTCTTTTCTGCATCAGGACCTATTGTCATAATTGCACTTACTTTAATTTTGCTCATGAACCACCAGTCTGAAATCAAAGTTAGGCCCTTACCATGTAAATCTCCAGCAAAGGTGGCAATTATACCTGCAAATTGGGAGTTTGAGCTTATAATGCTACCCTGTTTTGTTTGCTCATGTTTTCCTTAGCCAGCCGTTAGCTGTTTTGTGATGCATGAGGAGAAAACCCGGTGCGTGCATGAACTTCTGTCATCCCTGGACATCTCTGGCACCCCAAACACTCAGCCCAGAGCTCCCCAGAGCACTTCAGCACAGCTCTGAGGCAGCTGCAGGCCACTTCTTGTAGGCCCTCTCGGATGGTCTAGGATCCCAATTAGGAAGCCTGCAGCAAGACCGGGGTTAAAACAGTAGCAAAGGGTGTTTGGTTTTTTGTTGTTGCTTTTGTTTTGTTGAGGGTTTTTGTTTGTTTGTTTGTTTGTTTTGGTTTTGTTTTGTTTTGTGTGAGATAACCTCTAAAAGAAGTGGGGCCGTGAATGCACAGGCTTTGCAAAGTATCCAAACTCTGCTCATAGCATACAGCATCAGTCATAGTTTGTCACTGCAATGAACCAGACTCCCACAAAGGCAGTTGTTCTGTTTCCATTGTCCAATGCTGAAAAAAAAAAGAAGAAAAGCACCATTAAAAGAATGTGCTGCAAGCGAGAGGCAGGGCATGTTGAATTAATTTTTAAGGTATTGGCCATATGGTCATTTCCATTTCAGAAAACTTGTGTTCAGCAGGATCGCAAGCGCATGCACAGACAAAACGAATGATAAATGAGCATCTGCTTGCTTAAAACCCAGTGTTTAACATAGTTTGTTTTCTTAAGAAATTAAAACACATCTTGGCAGTCTCCATCCCATTCCAGAAGGGGACTAGTATCTTTTCCTTTCACTTTGATTAAATGTTTCCTTTGATAAAATACTTAGTAATATCATTTTTTGAAGTTAACTCATTCACAGAAGAGACTTGACTAATGGAGGAGGATTTATACTTTTGGGGGCCTTTGTCATTTCTTTAGTCTTTGTCCAGGCATTCATGGAGGTTTGTAAGTTTCCCAAGACACCTAGGATACTTTAAGGAAAAGAGATTACTGTTCAATTAAAGCTGATCAAAAAAATTTTCTCCTCTGGTTTTATGGACAACTGAAATGTCCACAAGTACTGCCAAGAAATTGCACATTAATCTCTGAAATGATGCAGGTGTGTTTCTTAACACAAAGGGCATCCTGTTTAAAAAGGCTGGAAATACTACTAATATACCAAATGGCTGGCACACATTTCAAGCCTCCTCCTTTAGCTGCTTCATAAATGTCTCGGTGTGCATGGCTGGCTGTTGTGTGCCCTTCAGAGTTTCCCCACAGGTAGGCTCCAATCAGCAATAATTAAAACCGCAATAGGCTAATCACATTGCACTCCCAAGAGTTTTTAACTTAACATGAAAAGCCTATTGGAATGCACTAATGGTTTTTCTATTTTAAAAGGAAACTGATTATTTGGCCCAGCCCAGCAATATGAAAATTCAGTGGGCAAGAAAGAATTTTGTGAATAAACAGTGAGAAGTATTTCATTTGGCATCAGCAAGCAGAACACTGGAGAAGCAGCCATTTTGCTGAAATATGGTATTTATGCTACTTTGACATTGCACTTTGTTTAAACACATTAAGATAATTTGACCACATCTGTAAGAGGCCGAAATGCTTGCTGTTCAGCCTTTCCCCATCTGCAAAATGTGTGGCCTGGTGTGCAATATCAGAGGGAGGTCAGAGGTAAAGGCACTGACTGTGCTGCCTAGCTGGATAGCTTTTATTTGGATGCCTGAGAACCAGAAACGTGGTGCAAAGACTTCTGCTGAATTGGGGCAACATTGGTTTGGGCCTTGGATGCCTTGGTTTGGAACAACAACAGTGAACGACAACAGCATTTGCATTGAATCCACTTCTGTTTTTTTCTCACCATGAAATTGAATGAGACCTGATAGTCTACTAAAAGATCCTCTCTTTGAAAATGTTAGTTTCTATCCATCCTAATCCATCTGGGCACGGTATTGTTTTAAAAAGCAGGATGGATTTCATCAGGAGGAAAGTCTGTGTATTAGGTTATTATTTATATTAAGAAATAATAGCTCTAACATGCCAGGGTGCATTACAAAAATCGAGTATTGAAATGGACAGGGTAAATTGTGCTTATGCAAAACATTCTAATCATTTTTTTCCACCAAGAAATGTATAAAAAAAGGAGTCTGAACTCTGCACTGTAACTTGCTATATAAATAATATAATGGTGCTACCAGCAGGGTTACATTCCCCTTGTTCAGAGAAGGCCAACTCAACATGAGCTGAGCACTGCACTAAAAGACTGAGAAAAGGCTGACAAATATGAAATTTCCCTCAACTCTGACCTGCTTTAAAGTTCGCATCCTTAAACAATTGCTAAACAGATGACAAAAAGGAGCAAAGTAGTGCAACTGTTCAGTAAGACAGCTGCCTTCTCAGTAAGCTCTGTCTGCAAGTACATGATGTAGCTGGACTGTGAAGTGGTTCAAGCAAACTCATTTGACTTTGTATTGCAACAGCCTCAGCAACACATACACAGAGCTGCACACCTCATCTCAGCCAAGAGACAGTAACTTCATCAACTGGACAGGTGTGTGATTGCAAGCCTCTGGTTCTGTCTCCTGCTCAGACAGGCTGGGATGGGTGAGCAGGACTCATGCTGGCCTCTGCAGCTGGGCAAACTTAATCCTTACTGGATCAAGAAAAGTCATCCAGAGCTGGTGCTGAGTGAAAACAGAATGTGACACACTGAAAACAGAGCATATCCTGCAGTATGCTCCCAGCATCCTCTGAAGAACATATATTCCATGGAAAGCACAGCCCAAAAAACGAGGATGCAGGCAGAATCAGGTATGCAGCAGAAAGGGAACAAGGAAAACCAGACATGTCCTGTGCATTGCCCACTTCACAGCCTTTCCTGACTTTCTCACTGGTTTTCTTTTCTAGCTGGAAACTTCTCATGCTTAGTTACCAGCTGAAGCCACATAGCAAAACATATGCGTAATTCATTCGTGCATATAGAGCTAATTACATGCTCCACTGGTTGGCTAAAGGAATTCACACATCCCACCAGCCAAATAGTTTTGGACCAAGGAGTTGAAAAGCTAAGGAGTCGATATTACCCTAGCTAAAATTTTAAGTAAAAGCATGACTGAGAGAGGAAAAAAAACACACACACATCTAGGAAAAGTTTGAATGCCCCTTAGAAACCAACCATCTGATCAAGTTTGTTACGGATGGTGTCCATATGGTATTTTGCAGGCAGGTGTGAACTTGCTCTGTCTGCATTCAGAGCTGGCCGAGCACAAGAAAGTCTTGGACAAGTGAGGTCATTAACTTCAGTTGTGCATGCTGTTAACACAGCCCCACAGTTCTCCAACTGGGGCATGGGAGACCTTCTTTTTGCCTGCCTGTGTAGCAGATATTCATATGGGACCATCCGCCTTTTACACTGACACTTCTTTGCAGAGAGAATGGGGCTTTGTTTAAGAAGAGCCGCCAACTATTCACTACCAGAGAGACCAAGAAGGAATTCAGACATGATCCTATTGCATGGAGCCCTCTGATTGTCATTTGTCTAAATGGCCGGTAATTGCATAAAGTCACAGCTAAGTGACCAGGTTGAGACTTTTTCAGAAACCCAAAGGTCTAAAAGTCAGCTACTGAATCCATGTGCAAGCACTTCAATAAAGCCAGTTTAGTTTCCAGAGCAGCCAAGCCTCCCAGCTCTTCCCAGGACTAGATGATAAGTGCAGCACTTGTGAAAATCACCTTTCAGGTGTGTGGCTATGGATATCAGGCAGCCTGTGGTTGGCACCAGCATTGGCACATGTCGGTGGCATGCCTGTGTGACACGAGTGGCACCTATAAGATGTCAGCCTGTGGGACCCACATGAAGGAATTTAAATTCTAGCCTTGTCTCTCTGTCTGGTTGCCAGATTCTGACTTGGATTTTGTCTCTTGCCTTGTCCTCCTCCTCCCACACCCTCCGTTTTAATTCCTTTCCACTGCTTTTACCCTGCTGTGGTCTTTGACCTGCTCTCATCCCTCCTGGTTTCTTCCTTAAGAACATGGGTTTGCAGGGAAAGGAAGACAGAGTGAAACATTAGACTGCATGTTACGATGATTAAAAGGCATGTAAGAAAACCAAGGCTGTCATTTTAATCTCTCACTAATGTTCATTGGCATGTCTTTGAGATAGGGTACCGTGCTGACAATAGTGATGGACAGGGTGTGAGATTGGCCCCTTGAACCCAGGGGCCTCCCAGGAATAGATCATGTCTAGACCTGGTTTGCATCAAGAGCCAAACCGGATAAGCTGATTAGCCAATTAGAAATAGTTCAGCTAGTGGAGTAGAGGGACCAAAGAGAGCTGAAACTGGAGGTCATGTGGATATCACAACTGATTAATAACCCTGTGGTGATGTGGAAGCTGGGAGGGGCTGGCAGTGAAGTGGGAGGAGGAGCTGCAAGTAAAAAAACAGAAGATGAACAGAGGAGGTTTTGTGTGTGTGTGTGTGTGTGTGGTTTTTCTCTCTAGAACCTGATCAAGAAGAAAGATCAAACATCAAACCTAAATGTGGAGAACAGTGGTATTTGATCTCCCACCAAAATATTTCTAGCATATCCTTTAAATCATATGTCATATGGAAAAGTCTCACTCTAGAGATTTCATTTCCAGTCCTTACCAGCATATTGCTTTTCATTCACTTTATTACCATCAGTCTCTACTATATATGGATACTACTAACACTAAATATGGTTTTCATCATGAAACTCATAGAATTTTCCATTGTGGGCACCATTAGTCAGGCATAATGTGAATCATAGGAGTTTAAAATTACTTACTTGGAACATCATTGAAAGCCAAACAGAACCAATGTAGAGGTGATAACTTTAAATAAATGGAAGAAAGGCAAATCTAAACTCGATTTGGAAGGACACCATCTCTGCATCACCAGTGCCCTAAATACAGGCCATACTCAATCAAAGATGATCAGGCTGCTCCTTGCTCCCTCGATTCCCAAGACCACGACCTTGGTGGTGTGTCTTGCTGGCAGAATAGCATTATACCTCCTTGCACCACACTGGGTAAGGTGCAGTGAAAGATGGTCCTTTGGCACTGGGGCACACGCTCTTCTACAACCTGTGCTGATCCCCTGCTTGTTCAGTCAAGTTGGAGACAGGAAGGCAGCAGGAGGGTGAAATGAGGGACCTATGTGTGTACACACAGGTGGAAGCCGGTGCTGATATGATGCCCTGTGTCTCACAGATGCCCCTCTCCGTGCTTACATAAGCATTTCAGGGAGAGAGGGGAAAGCTGCAGTCTGCCCCTGGTGAACTGCAGCCCAGTGGGTGCCTCCCACCCAGGCATACTTGAGGGATTCAGGAGCCATCAAGCAGGATATTGTTAAACATCCCCAAGCGACAGAGAACAACAGGCTCTCAGTGCAGTGGGAGTACCCATTTTGAACATGTAGGAACAATGTCTGATTTTTTTTTAAGAGTGAACATGTGTAAAAGTTGCTTAGATTCAAGACAGGATGCAAGTGGATAACTCCCTTAAGTTTCTTGATTTAAAATATTGCCTTTATCTCTGGTTCATAGGCCACAGTTGTGTATTCAGCTAGCCAGACATCTTTGAGAGGCTGCCCAACAGTTTGTTGGCTGTGCCAGCAATTCACCTTAATTCAAGATGCATGTCTTTAGCCTTTCCAGAGTAGAGACCTCTTCCCGGAAAACTCCTTTCAGTGTGACACTCTTCTGACCAGCAGGAAAGTTTTCCTAGCAATGCCTGATCTGCATCTTTCATGATACACTTAGGTCTTTTAGTTCTCAGGCTGGGACAACAGGTACTTTCCTTCTTCTCTGTAGAAGCTTTGTTTATCTGAAGTTTATTTCATGCCTCTTCCACTGTTAAACAGCCTCCTTGAAAACTTCTCCAATTCCAATTTTGCCAGTCTTCTGCACTACTGTGTTGATCCTGTCCTGCCTTCCCCCAAACACTCTATCTTTTCAGAAGTGCAGAGCCCAGAACTGGACCGTGTATTGCCCCTGAGGCCCTCCCAGTGATAAGTAGAATGAATCATCCAAAATCTATTCCTACTTATATATCCCAGGATAATATTTGACATTTTCACAGAAGTATGATACCGTTGGCACATTTGACAACTCCTTCTGTGATCTGCCAAAGTTCTTCCCAGTCCTTTTTCTGCAAACTTTCTAAAAATTGTCATTATGGACTTACGCTGATGATCATCCCTGTCTAAGTGTATGTATTGTGTGTGTCTTCATCAAATTGCCTTTTTTTTATTTATTTATTTTTTTTCCAGAGCATCCATTGGGCAAGATCATTTTGAATTCTAATCCTGTTCTCTACCAGACTCACAAGTAATCCCTGCCTGGTGTCATCTGCAAATTTAATAAACATTCTCAATATTCCATCATGAGGTCATTAGCAAAAATATTCAACACTAATTCCAGATGGTCTCTAACATTTCTGGGCAACGCAGAATGTGTTGAAGCATTTCCATGACTGACAATTCCCTCCATTTGTGTTATTGCTGAGAACTTTGGGTCTGGGCTGTGTGGTCACCGAGGTTAGAAAAAACTCTTGCATTTAGATGAAGTGAGCATTCCTGATGGTATGGCATGCTACAACCCCTTCCAACTTAAGGAAAGGAAAGAGCTCCGTCTATCTAGTCTATAGGAAATAGATTAAATTCTGCTTAGTAACATAGGCACTTTACCTCTCCACTTATTCCTAGTGGTACATTTACGTCGCCAACTCATCCCTATTATTGAAATCTCATTCTTGAGCTGAGACAAATATATTTTTAAGGCACCATCTTTTAGTTCAGAGAGAGTCACTACTCATGATTCCTGAGAGCAAACACTGGCTTGAAAGACTTCAGAATACTGTCCTAAACACCAGTATCCACAAAAAGAATAAAATACTGCTTGAGACTCAAAAACCCCCTCACTTTCTCACCTATTACATGATGTTTCAGGAAAAAGACAATGGGCAGGGAATAAAAACCTCATGATTAGAATGTGCACACACATATACCACAGCAAACTAGAGAAGAGGAAGACCTTAAAACTAAGAAAGAAAATACTTTTTGTCACAATGCCACAGAAGAAACAAGAGAATAATGCATCAGTCTTAGATGTTGGCATAGTAGTGAAAGCAGCATGGTGAAAGCAGCATTTAATAAACATTCTCTATATTCTAACTAGGAGTTTTAATACGGAATCAAGATTACAGCCTCACTGAAATCACGGAGACATGGCCGAATCACTCATATGACTGAAATGCTGACAGAAAAAAGATGCTGCTTGTTCAAGAAGAACGGACGGCAAAGAGATAAGAGGCATCACTTTGTGAGCGTTGTATGTATGAGCTTGTCCTGACAGATGGAGTTAGCCTTGCTGAAAGTATGCAAAGGTGGAAATAGGACACCATTGTCAGAGTTTATTGGAGTCTGTTAAAGGCCATCCATTTATGAAGATAAGATGTATGAGGCTCTTTGAGAATAAGTATCAGAGACATCTGAAGCACAGGTCTTGTGGGAAGAGGAAGATTTTAGCTGCAGTTAGAGACATTAGTTGAACAAACAGAATTCAGCAGCATAAAAACTCTTCAGCCCCTTTATGGCACAGTTTTATCGCAACTTTTGTTTGTATTCAGAAGACCCAGAAAGGAATTAAAGGAAAAAGGTCCTCTAGGTTTGAGTCTCAGCATGAGGGAGGAGCAGTGTAAGAAAGGGAAGGTGGAAGGCAACGTAGATGGGAGTTACCATGAAAAGGTAAATTTCATGGTCCTTGGAGAGGCAAGTCAGGAGAAGAGAAGAAAAACTAACCCAGCAGGTTTCAGACAGACAGACTTCAATAAGCTTGGGAAACTGCCAAGAAACCAAGGACTTAAAGAGACTTAGTAGTTCCCCAAAGAAACAACACTAAATGCAGAAACAACACTAAATGCAGAAGTGCAGATGCAGAAAAAAGACTAGCAATAAAAAACACTGACTTCTCTTCATTGATCTCAAAGACAATAAGGAACCACAAGAAGAAACAAAACCAGATGTCCAAGGATGAGTATGAACAAAGTCATGTAAAACAAGGTCTGGAAAATTAAAATTAAATTAGCAAGAGACATGGAAGGTAACAGATTTTAATCATTCACTAAAAAGGAGATGGAGGAAAATGTTAGCTCATTACTCCATGAATGGAGAAGATAATGGGTAGATTACAGTGCACAGATGAAAGTGTTTAATGTCTTTTTAAATTGCATCTAAAATGGCCAAATGTGAGGATGCAATTAGCACAGCTAAGAAAAGAGGTAAGGTTTAAGGCTAAGTAGGAAAAGCACAGCCTTGGGAGTATTTAGGAAAACAAGACTTTACACACAGAGGAAAAGCTGTTGTGTTACCACACATCTCAGCAAAACATCTGGCTCCAGATGATTTTAACATGTTGAAGAAATAGTCTGAAAAAGGTGTATGGGATGATAGAGCAAGATCAAGGGATTAAGTTCAGGTAGACTCTGGAGACTGCACACGTAGTAAATTTTATGATGCTAAAAATGCAGAAGAATATTTTGGTTAGAAAGGAGTCTCTGGGAAAAAAGGATCTGTGGGTTAGCTGAACCTGAAACAGCAATGAGAGACTGGTGTGGAAAAGTCAAATTATCACATGGAATTGTGCAAACAGGAATTCAAGTCTCCACACCATAAAAAATGCCACTGCATTCTATCTGGCAGTACAAAGGCCTTCACCAAAATTTTATTCCTTAAGCTTAAGGATGCACTTCCACAAAAATGAAGAGCAGGAACTGCCCAAAATGTGGACAATGCAGTCTATGACGGGGCAAGAAAACCCAGCCTTCAGGGCTCCTCTCTTTGCACTGCACTTAGCTAAGCCATAAAATAATGTAGAGTCAGAAGGGAGCAGAATAAACAGGGCTGACAGCTGTTAGACAGCTGCATCAAGCTTTCTGACCCCTGTTATATCTCCATTAGTTTGGTTTGTATATAGTGCTGTAGAAAAAGGCTAACTGGTGGCACTTTGAAGGAGAATTTTTCTATTACTCATGTCCTTCCTTAACATGATTTTCTCTTTATTTATTTAGCTTTCCACTCTCACTTGAGTTTGCAATAATTTAGTGCAGATGTTCTATCTTTCTGTAATTTATTAATATTGACTTTCTTTTCCCTCCCTTTTCTATAAATGTTTCTCAAATGTTCACACTATGACTGTGTGATTTCCCTTGCTTGCCTCCCAGCAAGGGAGCTGCAGGCTTGCAAGAAGTGAGTGTGCTGGAGGCATTCTGTCAGCTACAGTACTGCAAGCAGCTAGGAGCAAAAGGCCACCTTCATCCAAGGAAAGGAAGTGGGCAATGAGTTCACCCCAGCCACCTCATACAGGAAGATTCTTATGCCCAGCAAGAGTATAGAGTCATGCACAAAAGATGCAGAGAGTAAGGAGAGCTGTTGATTTTAGGCAGGAGATGGGTAAGTTGTCCTTGAGATCCTCAGCTGACTCATTTTCCCTGCTTTGAGGAGAGAAGGACTTGGTGTTTACAGAGACAGTGGGAGAGTGACAATCTTCAAAAGGTCACTGAGGAGGCATCCAGCTGCTGATTCACTCAGAGCAAGTAGCAGCGAAGTGCAAAAGTGGCACTGTCCTGTGTCCCCAGTTTCAGAGAGAAAGGCAGAAGGACAGTCAGAGAGGGTAAGCAAGATTTTGCCTTGATTAGGTATTTGCTCACCTTCTAAGGAAGGACTTCAAATGGCCCAGACTAGGAGATGGACCCAGAACTTGCCATTCACTCCTGCTCAAAGCACAAATGTCACAGACAGTTCATTCAAAAAAACAACTGGGAGTCTGCCCGCACTATCGTTGATGCTTATAAATGCAAGGGAGAGACCTGCATTTTGTTGTCTGCCTACCAAGGCATGTTCAACCCCACATCTTCCAGTGTCAGGAGGGGAGCCTAGCTGCCAAGCTGTAGGGTAGTCTGCCTAGTAGACAGGAGACTGAGCCTGGAAGTAGGGAGGACCTGGTCCCTGTTGTTTGATCCATCACTGGGAATGTGTCTTGCTTTAAACAACTGGAAGAAGGTAGAGGTGTAAAGAAGAGAACAGTACAGAATCCAAAGCACAATTCAGGATCTTCAACACCAGGTTGAAGGGTTGTCTTCTGATAACCTCCTACTTGAAATATGGCAAGAACAGTCAAGAGTACAAGTTACTGGTTTTCAATTCTTCCAGCAAGGTAATTGAAATTCTTCTGATGTCTCTCTAAGGATGAAGAAGGGGAAACACCTGTTTAAAGGAGGTTTCCTTGGAAGAATAATATGACCAGGCACCAAGAGGTGGATTCTGAGCTGAGTTTCTGCTATACAGCTGCAAGACAATGCCAGACATGCAGAAATGATTGGAGTCCATCAGCCACTCCTTCTTCACCTCCCTGACTGTGCAGCTGGTGGTGACTGGTGGTCCATGGAGATGTATCTAGCACCACCCGTGCTTGCTCTCTGCACAGCATAGATCCACAGTATCCAGGACACCCAAAAGCTTAAGAAAAGAATGCTGTTTCCATGACCCCAGAACACTACAAATATATTTTGCAGGTATTGTATGCATCAAGAGGCTCAGAATAGCATTTTCCAAGATGTTTTTAATACTCAGTAAACTACTTGAATGTGGATCTCTTCTACTGGGTTTCTACTAGAGATCTCAAAAATCTTGGTGCTACCAAGGATGCCTAGAGCAAAGGAGAATTCGAATCCATCGAGAAGAGAGTTTCCATTCCTTTGTGTTTACCTGCTTCTCACCACACTGTCTTGGTCCTCACAGAAGCAGTCCAGCATGCTAAATCAGCTCCAAGAGGGGAAAGTATTTCCAAGTGTAGGAGAAACAGTAAGGTACAGAAATTCTTCTCTTCTTAACCCTCAGAACAATTGGAATGGGTAATATTGTCAAATGAGGATGCTAGTCCTGTGGTCGTGCTGCAGTCACACATCTCATGGCTGGCCACCTGAGAGCTGGAACCACAAGCACTATTCTGCACCCGTTTGCTCCACTGGACCAAGCAGAGGAGCCATTCAGCCTGCTTTCAGGAGGTAGACACTTCTGGCTGTGCATGGTCTCACTTCCCCTGACTGTAATGGGGTGATCAAGATGCTGAAATAGTCATGATGGAAAAGGGAGAGAAAAATTCAGAAGAATGCAAGGTCATCAACAGGCACATCATGGCTCTCTACAAAGGAAAATCACATTCTCTGATTGCAATGCCAGAGAACAAGCCTATATTCAGTTTCTCCTCCTGCTTGCAGCCGCTCCACCTAGACCCTGGGTAATATGGCTATCATCCCTGCCTTACATATCTCCTCCTGCAGGTTTCTTATCCTGTCTTTTCCCTCCACACACACTACATTTTTGTTCACGTTTTGGCTGCAGTCACTGCCTGCTCCCTTGGGTGACCATGTGCTGTGGGATGTAATACTCCTAAGAGTACGAGGTCTCTTCAGCTGACTACAATGAAATTTTCACGTGGTGGGCATAGCCCCATGGTTATACAGGAAAATATCTGAATTTATATCTCAGGCACTCTTCCTTGTGCTCTATTGGTATAGATTATTTCATGTAATTATTTCATTTCTGCTGCTCTCAGAGACCAGGCATGTTCTCTGCTTCACTGAATGAAGGCAACAGTGTCAGCCCAAATCCCAAGCTGCTTTATGGGGTGCATGCCTTATGGAAAGCACAGGCCCCCAGCCCTAGTGTATCTCCATGAGGTCAATTGAGTGGCACGCTTGCACACTCACTGCAAGTGTGGCCTTGTGGGGCAGGGATGATAAAGTAAACAACAGGAGGGAAATTTGAGTGACAGCGATATCCGTTTTGGCTCTTCCACAGAAGTGCGAGCAGAGAATTAAATGTATATTCCAAAGCATTTTGCTCCTCTCTGTCCCAGCTCATTTCTTATCCTTACAAAGGCATTTAGCAAGCCCAAATTGGCCTAACAGTCCATTAGGATCCAATCTGCTCCAAGCCGCCCACAATGCAAAAGATTTGAAAGCTCAGATAAAACTTTGCTGCTGGGAGTTCAGCTCCGCTCTCTGTGTCTGCGAAGTGTGGGGTGTGTGATGTGGGGAGTGTGATGCCACACTCAGGACCAAATATGATACATGATGGCACAAACCCAAACCAACAGACAACTGGTGTTGATCCTGCCCCACCACCTAACTTATGCTCTTTGGAGTTTGTTGTGGAAAAAACAACACTGTGACTTGCTTATGAAGGTGGTTATTTGAAAATGATGTTTTGAAACTTGGGTGGCTTTGGGGGAAGCGTGCTGAAGGAAAAGCAGAGGTGTTTTTTGTGCAGAGGAAGTCAGGGGATGAAGAAATAATGCAAGGGATTTCACAAGAAAGAAGAAGAAGCAGAAGATGTTTGTAAATTGCTAGGATAAATCTGTCTCCACACTTGGGAGGGAAAACAGATAACAGGAGAGAGAGGACAAGACAAAATGCAA